TGTGTCTCTGTGTGTCTCTGTGTGTCTCTGTGTGTCTCTGTGTGTCTCTGTGTGTCTCTGTGTGTCTCTGTGTGTCTCTGTGTGTCTCTGTGTGTCTCTGTGTGTCTCTGTGTGTCTCTGTGTGTTTCTGTGTGTCTCTGTGTGTCTCTGTGTGTCTCTGTGTGTCTCTGTGTGTCTCTGTGTGTCTCTGTGTGTCTCTGTGTGTCTCTGTGTGTCTCTGTGTGTCTTTGTGTGTCTCTGTGTGTCTCTGTGTGTCTCTGTGTGTCTCTGTGTGTCTCTGTGTGTCTCTGTGTGTCTCTGTGTGTCTCTGTGTGTCTCTGTGTGTCTCTGTGTGTCTCTGTGTGTCTCTGTGTGTCTCTGTGTGTCTCTGTGTGTCTCAGTGGGTCTCTGTGTGTCTCTGTGTGTCTCTGTGTGTCTCTGTGTGTCTCTGTGTGTCTCTGTGTGTCTCTGTGTGTCTCTGTGTGTCTCTGTGTGTCTCTGTGTGTCTCTGTGTGTCTCTGTGTGTCTCTGTGTGTCTCTGTGTGTCTGTGTGTCTGTGTGTCTCTGTGTGTCTCTGTGTGTGTGTGTCTGTGTGTCTCCTGTGTGTCTCCTGTGTGTCTCTGTGTGTCTCTGTGTGTCTCTGTGTGTCTCTGTGTGTCTCTGTGTGTCTCTGTGTGTCTGTGTGTCTGTGTGTCTCTGTGTGTCTCTGTGTGTCTCTGTGTGTCTCTGTGTGTCTCTGTGTGTCTCTGTGTGTCTCTGTGTGTCTCTGTGTGTCTCTGTGTGTCTCTGTGTGTCTCTGTGTGTCTCTGTGTGTCTCTGTGTGTCTCTGTGTGTCTCTGTGTGTCTCTGTGTGTCTCTGTGTGTCTCTGTGTGTCTCTGTGTGTCTCTGTGTGTCTCTGTGTGTCTCTGTGTGTCTCTGTGTGTCTCTGTGTGTCTCTGTGTGTCTCTGTGTGTCTCTGTGTGTCTCTGTGTGTCTCTGTGTGTCTCTGTGTGTCTCTGTGTGTCTCTGTGTGTCTCTGTGTGTCTCTGTGTGTCTCTGTGTGTCTCTGTGTGTCTCTGTGTGTCTCTCTGTGTGTCTCTGTGTGTCTCTGTGTGTCTCTGTGTGTCTCTGTGTGTCTCTGTGTGTCTCTGTGTGTCTCTGTGTGTCTCTGTGTGTCTCTGTGTGTCTCTGTGTGTCTCTGTGTGTCTCTGTGTGTCTCTGTGTGTCTCTGTGTGTCTCTGTGTGTCACTGTGTGTCCCTGTGTGTCTCTGTGTGTCTCTGTGTGTCTCTGTGTGTCTCTGTGTGTCTCTGTGTGTCTCTGTGTGTCTCTGTGTGTCTCTGTGTGTCTCTGTGTCTCTGTGTGTCTCTGTGTGTCTCTGTGTGTCTCTGTGTGTCTCTGTGTGTCTCTGTGTGTCTCTGTGTGTCTCTGTGTGTCTCTGTGTGTCTCTGTGTGTCTCTGTGTGTCTCTGTGTGTCTCTGTGTGTCTCTGTGTGTCTCTGTGTGTCTCTGTGTGTCTCTGTGTGTCTCTGTGTGTCTCTGTGTGTCTCTGTGTGTCTCTGTGTGTCTCTGTGTGTCTCTGTGTGTCTCTGTGTGTCTCTGTGTGTCTCTGTGTGTCTCTGTGTGTCTCTGTGTGTCTCTGTGTGTCTCTGTGTGTCTCTGTGTGTCTCTGTGTGTCTCTGTGTGTCTCTGTGTCTCTGTGTCTCTGTGTGTCTGTGTGTCTGTGTCTGTGTCTGTGTCTGTGTCTGTGTCTGTGCGTGTGTGTGCATGTGTGGGTGTGTGGGTGTCCTTTTGCGTGGACGTCAGTTCATTTTGGCAAACAACCCATCCAGAGACACTCAAGCCAGCCCTGCCGTTTGGATGCCAAATAGACTCCCTTCCAAATAAAACTTAGAACTTCTTCGACCCCTTTCCAAGCCACAACCCATTGAGTTTCGGTTCTACCAATATGTTCTGTAAGGGTGGCTCCGTTGTTTTTTTCCTTTTTTGGGAATGCCCAAAAAAATGTGGTGTTCCTCGTGCAACCCACGGGAAAACCAAGTAGTAGTAGAACTGCGGGGGTGGGGGGGGGGCAGGCGAAAGCGACAGATTGACCAAATCCCACCTGCTGTCGGGCCAGGGGTCGATGCGGAGACCTCGCAGCACAAGCTACTGGGGCCCGGGATGTGTTTGCTTGAGATTTTTTGTCGCCTTCCCTTTTGTGATTGGCAAGACGGGGGGGAAACTGCCGCATGAACAATGTTGCGGCACTCGACGAGACAAATCCAGGTTTGAGTGGGGTCAGAAGTTAGAACTGATCCAAACACCGGCGAATCGCCGTGAGCCGCAGTTGTTAACCTTTGCGAGTAAACGTCAAAGAGGGCAGCAAATCAAGCACCCGTTTCCCACCCCACCCCGGTTGTCCAATCATTTCGCCCCCTCTGCAATACAAACACCGGTTCGTAGCAACTGGCCATTATGCCGCGCTACGGGTACAGTAGACATGTGATGGGTCCAAAATGCGAAATCCCACCCCCACGCCGCCTGTGGGATGCCGTTCACACCAAGAGCTTTTCGGGTTTGGCGCTTTCCCAACTTCCCCATTTCTCAAATTTTGTCCGCCTCGCATCAAGGAAGAAGACGGCTACTGCTTCGGGACGCTAGTTTGTAGCCAAAACTCAGCTCTTTGCGCATGACATGTTTCTACCTTTTCCCTCAATCTACTTTTGCGGCGGGTCAAAGTTCCATCCCGGACAAAGCCATCCTTATCCAGCTCGTCCGCTGGAACTTCTTGGGCCACCGCTCCCTTTTGCTGTTTTGGTCCAAATGCGGAAAAAAATCGCTGGAGTCGCCTTCCAAGGAGAACCAGGATTCGTGTCGGGAGTTCAAACGAGAAGACCTGGAGATGTGTCTCTCGTGAGCCCGTCCTGACCTGGATTTGCCATTGGGGTCCTCGAGCCCTCCGCTCGGAAGCCAAGTCGGTCTGACCCGCTTGCGCCAAAATGGAGCTCCAGGGGCCCAGGCCAGCGACCGCGCCGTGAAGCCTCAGCGCGGCTCGGAAAACTCCTTGGGTTGGAAGAACCCACCTTCCGACCGGTTTTGGCACACGAGGGGATTGATGCGAGAAGAAAAGTCCAAGGAAAAAAACGGATGCACGCCTCAAAGAGTCCACCCTTCAACCTGCCTTCATGCTCTCTGAAAATATGGCACCCGTTTTTGTTGGCGACCATTCTTCCCTTTCAATCAGGGCTGTGGGAAATTACCACTTCTGTGACACAACAGAAAGGGCTTCCCAAAAACTAACCCCGTTAGAAGGGGGAAGATTCCCTTGTATCACAGAAGCGGTTGGATAAACTCCTTGATAGACCCTGCTTTTAAACCTCTCCCAAAGGTGCCCGACTTCCGGAGGCACATTGAGAAACACCAAACCGAGCTGAGGCCATGCACCCCCTGATGTGGTAGAAGGCGTTTGTGGCCGCATCTCATGGTCTGTGCGGTCTCCCAAGTCCTGAAACAAAACCCTTTGCGACATCTAAGATTCCTTTGCAGATTCCTCCCTCGCCTCGGGGCCACTCAACTTTGGAACATTCCTTGAGTACGTACTACCGTGCTCGGAGAAGAACGGACATCTTCCCAACAAAGCCTGCGGCAAAACTCACCTATTGTGGTTTAAGGCCAAACGTGTCTCTGTGTGTGTGTGCTTTTTCTGTCGCAGAACTCGATATGGATAAAGACACGCGTGAACGAACATGAGATACCGCCGCCTGGGGCCCTGAGGGACAGCCTAAGTCTGGGGTCCTTCCTACGCCAACACGGCTTTGCCTTCCAATAAACCCAACGGGACCACAACAGCATCTCCAAAAAGGACGACCAAACACCCCAGAAAGGCCGTGCTTCTCCACAGAAAAGGTGGGACAAGCCACCGGTCAGACATCTCAATGGTGGGTCAAGGGGATCTATGGATCCAGGTATCTATGTATCTATATAGCCATGTAGCTATGTATCTATGTTGTCTATGAATCTATGGATCTATGAATCTATGAATCTATGTATCTATGCATCTATTTCTAGCTTAATATGCATAGACACATGCATGCAGGCATGTATAGGTAGGTAGGTCGGTAGGCAGGTAGGCAGGCAGGCAAGCAGGTAGGTAGGGGACAAGAAAAAGTCCCTGTTTCGGGTGTAGACCAGTTGGCTTCCCCCTCTAACTCAGGATTCCCCCTTTTTTCCCTTACAGCATCACCCCATGAAAAGGAAAGGTGATGCTTAAACCCAACAGGGGAAATATCACGGGAAGCTCACCTAAATTGGTCCAAAAGATGATGCTTGAAGCGACTCAAAAGGCAAACGTATGTGCGTCTTTTTTGGCACCGCTTGTGGCTGGCTTTGAAGGGCACCAAAAGGAAGCCAACCCATGTTGTCCCCATTCTGAGATGATATAGGAAACCCGCCGGTGGACGTTTCCGACGAAGTTCCGTCCTTCAGCTTCCTGGCTGTCAAAGGCCGCGCGATCTGCCGGGTGCTGAAGTCCTGGTTTGTGACGTGTGGATGTCCGCACAACGTGTGGATGTCCGCACAAAAAGGGGATATACCCCCTGTTGTGTGGGTCTGGAAAAAAAAAGGAAGACTTGGTTTAGGGAAACCCCCCGGCGAAAGGGTTGTTGACGTGCCTGGGTTCGGGGGGCCGTTTTTCTTTTTTTTTCCCTAGGTTCGGCAGGCGCTGAAATGACGTGCTTTACGGCATTTGCAAACAACATGCACGCCAGCATCCCTTTCAACACCCCCGGCATCACCAGAATGACGGGGTTTAGAGAGGGTGGGTTCAAGGTTTAGGGTGGGTTTGGGCAGGTCGGGAAACCCCCTCCAGAAAAAAAGAAGAAAGAACAAAAAAGGAAACCTTGTCCAAAATCACAAATACAAGTTAAAGTTTTAGGGACACCCCTCGACAAAATGAGGAAAACTGATTTTCTGACACCCCCTCCGAAAGACAACCAACAAACAAACCCAACAACAAGAAAAGGAAGAGTGGTTTAAGTTTTAGGGAACCCCCCTCCGAACATGGAAGGATTGATCTATGGAAACTCCCTCCAAAAAGAAGGGACTGGTTTAGTGTGAAAGAAACCCCCTCCAAAGGAAAATGCGCGTAAGTTTCACAGAAAGCTCGTCCAAGAAGGAAGACTGGTTCAAGTCTTAGGGAAAACCCCTCCAACAAAGGGGAAGACTGATGAAAGTTTTGGGGAAGCTCCCTCCAGAAAAAGCAAGACTGGTTCAAGTTTGAGCCAAGCCCTCTCCAACGTGGAAACTGGCTCTAGGGACACGCCCTCTGGAAAAAGATCGAATGCCGGACAGGTGGAAAACTCCAAGGTTCGTATTGCCAAATCCTGAATTGTGGGAGTCGAAACTACCTGTTTTTCAAACAATCACGAAAGTGGACAAGGGGCTTCCACGAAATGAGAGCGGCTTTCCAAACCTCCGCGATCGCCAGCTTCCGTGATTCCTAGCCCCCAGACTCCGCGCTCATGGGCCAAATGAGCCACTGGTTGAAAACAAAGAAAGGCCAGAACCATGATCTGCCAGGTTGCCTGCTAGGCAACCCCCTGGGCTCTACTGGTTGGACGGCCTGCTACCCCCTGGAACGCCCAAAGCAGTGGGAAACCGCTTCAGCCGCAGGTGTTCCTTTTTGCATAGATGGGTTCCCTGGTAGTTGATTGAACCACCAACCCAAAATCAGGAATCGCCCTCTCTTTTTCAACCAAATCAACCAAAAAGGACACCTATGGACTTAGCCCTGTCGCCCTGTCGCCCAAATCGACTTCACTTCTGAAGGCCTTCAGGCGCTCCCTCGGCGAGGCCAAGTGCACCTCGCGGCGAAACCGACACGCGCTTTTCCCGAGCCGGGCGAACACCCATGGCGAAAAGGGGAAAACGCGCCCTCCGGCACCTGCCAAGTTGTCAAACTGGTTCATTCGCTGGTAACCCATCAAGGGAATATAATTCGCAGCCCACGGCGTATGTACAGGGAGAAAGAAAAAGGACGCGCAACTGCCATTTGGATTTGGTCATTCTTCGTCTGCCAACCCGCCTGAATGGCTGGACGGCCCGCAACCACTGGCAGGGCTGCAGACACCTGTCAAAACAAACGCGCGAAGTTGATGCCGGTGCAAACACGGAAAACAACTCATTTGATCAACTTCACAAAGGGATTTCTCAGTTTCTTGACTGCCTCCCCAAAGGCGGTCAAAGAAACTGGCGGAAGGGGCCGCTTGTGAGTCCTCAAAGGAGTTCCACGGGAAACCAAAACGAGAGACCCCCCGTTGCATGCTTTTGCCAGGGAAACTCAAAGCAAAACCAAACACTAGGGGCCCATGGATGTGCTCTGGAACCGAATCAGTACCCCAAGTCAACCGCCTCCCTTTTTCACCGACCCGCTTCGATCGACGCTAGAAAACAACATTCTGTTCCCCCCACGACTCTTAAAACCCTTCCATTCGATTCCTCCGCTTTCCGAACCGAAGCGACCGCACCGACCTCACCGAGCCACCGAGCCCCCGAGCCCCCCCGAGCGTCCGAGCCTCGGTGACGGAGGCGGCGGTGCTGGGATCCTCGTCCCGGCTGAAGAAGGCGGAGCCCGGCAGCGCCAGCCGCTCCTTGCCGCAGAAGTCGTGGAAGTCGCCGCCCGACTCCACCGCCGCGTGGGGGCCCTTGGACCTTGGGGTAGGGGTGGGGGTGGGGGTGGTCCCAAGCAGGTTGTGGTTGTTTTGTTGAAGGAACGGAAACCACTGGGGAAAAGAGGTGTGAACAAGCCGATTGTGTAGACCCCGAGTTTATGGAAGGAACTGAAGCCACTGGAAAACAGAGCAGTGAAGGAAACTGGTGTGTAAAAGAAGAAAAAACGGCATTTAAGGAACGGGCGCGCAAAGTGGAGACTTTGTTTTTGGCTTCCCTTGAAACCAACCTGAAATGGGTTTTCTCAAAAAAGTATTGCACACAATTTGGAAGAAAATGAGTTCACAAAACAAAGCTACTAATGGCAAACTACGGGAAGAAGGAGCAGCTTTTGGAATGCGTTTTGAAAGGGTATGACTCGGGGTGTGACAGACAGAGACAGACAGACAGACAGACAGACAAACAGGCAGACAGACAGACACAGACACAGACACAGACACAGACACAGACACAAACACAGACACAGAGTCAGAGACAGAGACAGAGACAGAGACAGAGACAGAGACAGAGACACAGACAGAAAGACAGGGACGGAAAAGCAGACAAACAGAGACAGAAACAGAGACAGAGACAGACGCAGAGACAGAAACAGAGACAGACACAGAGACAGAGACAGAGACAGAGACAGAGGCAGACACAGAGGCAGAGACAGAGACAGAGACAGAGACACAGACACGGACAGAGACAGAGACAGAGATAGAGATAGAGACAGAGACAGAGACACAAACAGACACAGACACAAACAGAGACAGAGACAGAGACAAATGGACATCTAAAACACAAAAGCACAAAGCACGAAAGCGCAAAAGCACAAAAACATCAAGCACAAAAGCACAAACAAAGGAACAACTAGATAGATAGATTATTCAACAACATTTGCATTGATATACACATCTACAAATAAGCAACGTGCGAGGTGATTCACCAACGGTACACATAGATCCCCCGAAATGTGGACTCTGAGTGTTTGCCCAGCTTCCCAAAGCCAAATTTAGCTACGGCGACCGTTCCTCTTACCAATTCTCATGCTGGGTGCCATGGAAAAGCCGCATCAACCTTGAAGCTACCCGTTTCCTGTTTTGGCGAAGCTTAAGCAAGAAATGGCCGTTACCCGAAAAATGAAGAACTGCGCGGATCCCCGTTTGAACGTATATGTTGCGTTGACCCCCGAACACCCCCTGTTTTCCCTACATCAACCTTCGAATGTGCTTGCAAGCATGTGCGCCTTGCTTGCTGCGGCCCAAACGTGTAGAGGTTTGCTTGGCTCTCTGGGAGGGGTCGCCTTAGCCGTCTTGCATTCATCACCGGCGGCCTTTTTGGGTTGATGTTCACAGCTTCTTCTGGCGTTCGGAGGTATCCGGTGCAAAATCCGCCAAAGCCTGGGCTCAGGGGGCTGACCAGTCAACCTGGCGTCCCCAGCATCGCTCACTTTGCCGGGGTAAGAAGCCCTGGTTTGGCAGCGTTTGGAGGATATATCTTCCACAAAGTGCGCACTCCAAACCGGGCTGTCCTCAAGTCTCCTGCTAAAGGTGTACTTTTTAGTGGGTTAAATGGAAACCCAACCACTAAACCAACCAGAAAGCTAAAAAGCTAAGGAGATGACTGGGAACCACCAAGCTCAACAACACATGACGACTTTCTTGAGCACCACCGGCTTGCATCCCACGCATCCACAATATGGCTTCTTAGATTTGCTTGAGCCTCACGGGCGATACTAAAAAGTGCTGCGAGAAACCTCTGTGCGTTGAAAAACTCGCTGATGAAAAATCGAATCTCCTTTTCGGCTTTCAAAGGGTAACTGCAAGGAAAAACCGGGTATCGTGCTATTCTGCAAAAACCAACCAGCCACCATGGGGTTCTAGGTGTTCCATGGTCCCTTTGGATTTCTTGCAAGGAAGCCAAAGGAACAGTGCCTGGTGCGGGCTAGGGGGCCCAAACCAGGTAACCTCAAACCAATGAGTTTTAAGGCAGGCACAGCGCAAGAACGCTCTGATGGCCAGAAAAGAGAAGATTTGTTGTTTTCAAATTGTTGGGTCCCGGAACGTCCCAACCCCTATCTTGGCACATACCCATGATGGGTAGGGATTTTAGTTGCGTCCCGGAACCTTTGATGGACGTCAAGATTCGGTGAAAACTCACGTCCCCCCCACTTTCGAGAAAAACAAACCAAAAATAACACACACACACACACACACACACACACCAAGAGCCCAAGAGAGCCCGATAGTCCGGGCCACTGCTGGTACCATCGGTAGGTCTCGTCCAGCTGCCGCTCCGCGCTTTCCGGATTTCGGCTCAGCATCACCTTTCCAGCCCCCCCCCCTTTAGTGGGGCGGCTCGTCTTTCTTTGGAGTTGGTACCCCGTTTTGTGGGCCTATAAATGAAAGTCATCACTTTGGGGGTCCCCTCGAAAAGACACACACATAAGAACTGACCAAAACAAAACAACCAAAACAACAATAACGACCAACCCACCGAGCGAGAGAGCGAGCGAGCAACCAACCAAACCAGCCAACCAAACAGACAAACAAGCAAACAATCAAACAACATCAGGTTTGCATTGGTCCAGTTGCCTCTACAAAGCACCAGGGCGTCAAATCCAAATCCAAACCACCAACTAGGGGTTACGAAACAAAAACAGCCCACCAACCCCACCAACCCACCAACACACCAACCCACCAACACACCAACCCACCAACCCAGCAACCCACCAACCCACCAAAGATGATGCCAAGAGAAGTCACCCCGTCCATCAACTTCCGCACGTTCTGCCGCAAGACCCGGTACCACGTCGACTTGGTCGCCCGGGTGCCCAAGAAGGACCTAAACACAAGAAGACTTCAGCTTCCCGCTTGGTGGCTTGGCTTGGTGGCTTGGAGGTTAGGGAGTGGTTCCCCCTTTACCGTCTACACAAACCAAACCGCCAACTCCTGAAGACTACAACAAGACAAACTAGGAAAAAAACACCACCCACAAGAAAGCTTACAAATTGGTGGGAAAATTGGTTTGTGCGGAAAACTGGATCTAGCACCTGTACAAACAAGCCAAGCTGTACGAGACACACACATGGAACGGCCAACAAAATGCGGGTTCGTGGAGAAGGGTTTGTAGCAACAACGTTGATGCTTCAGCACGCATCAATACACTGTATGGGTGCTTATTGTGTCACAAAATGGTGTTTGTGTATTGTGTATTGTTTTTTGTGCATTGTTGATTGTTTCAAAATGGGTTGGAACAAGTTTTTTCCCCCCAAAGGCGGAAAAATGCCAATGTCTTGCACTTCGCCAGGGGGCGTGTCCTTCTCGGAGAGCAAGGACTCATCTAGCTTCTCATAAGCCTCCTGCGAGAGACTTGGGACGGAGAGCCACATGACTCTCCACCGTGGGATTTGGAGTCCTTGGCTTGGTTTGATGGAAATTCCGCCCCCCCTCCCGCCCCCTCCCCCCCAAACCAAGAAACAAAAAACAAAAACAAAGTCTGTGTGCCATCGCTTCTTTCAGCATTTCATCAAATGTAGGTCGTCGTCTTAATCCATAATATTGATCAGCCATATTAAATATTACAGATTATTTGTTGTTGAGTTGCTTTATGGACGAAGTAGTTATTATAAACAGTGTCCTCATAATATGTTTGTAGTTTAACCTTAACTTCTTTTTTCTGCTCCTTCTGTATTATTATATTCATCTAATAATGCTTTAAACGCGTCATATTTAGCAGCATTAATGACATTGAATTGACGAAGTTTTGAAATTATACTATCCAATAAACTTCTTGGATTTTTTGCTAAATATACCGGCCACATCCACTTTATGCTGGCTAAATAATTTTTGAAAGTTTGTTCATCATCAACATCTTCATTTTCAACATTTTGTAATTCCATTTCGTTCACTTTTTCGCGCATTTCCATTATTTCAGCAGTAGTAACAGTTGCTTGTACGTCATCGTGATCATCTTTACCTTGCTTCAATGTTTCTACTTCAACAACAGGGTCTTCTTCTCGTTCTTCTTCCTCTTCCCCTTCCTCTTGTTTATTTAATGGTTCCAATTCTGGCATTCACCATCATCATCATCTTTCGCTATTGAATGAACTTCTACACCAGCAGGTATTGAAGAAAATTTACTTGTCTAAATAATTAATAAGATTTATCTTTGTTAGATATCATTAGTTATTTGGAAAACAAATTAATCTGAGATATTCTTAATCATTTCTTCTAAATGTTTCTTTCTTGCTGTGAGTTGTTCTTTTGTGTGTATTCCGTCTGGTGACCGTGTAGTATCTAATATCTTTCTTATTCTGTCTAACTCCTTTCTATAACTTTCGGTTCTGTTGCTGCCAGCTAAATCATTTTTATACTTTTTTAACTCTCCCTGTGATTGTCTTGCTTCCAGTGTGTCCTTCAATTGTTTAAAATAACTCATTCTTGAAGCAACACCCCAAAAATCTGAAACATCATACTGACGTTCTACTTGTGGTGCCCTTTTAAATTCTACATTTCTATGACTTCTCATAAGCATAATTGTTGTATATTATAATGAGACTACTATTTAAACATTGATGAAGTTAATTTATTTGTCTTATCTGGTTTATCTTGCTTTTTCTTTTGTTTCAGTTCCTCATAATGTTGGTTTAATAATTCTGTTGCTGTGGTGTCTTAATTGTTTCTTTAATCACTTCTTGTTTCATCTCATTCTTAGTTTCTTCTTTTACTTCTGGTTTCATCTTTCTAATATTCTGTTGTGGGTTGACTGGTAATAATTCAGTAGGTGCTCCCTTACAACTTTTAGGATGTGAAAACGAAGCGATTTAGCATTCATAGATTTACCACAGCTTTCACACTCGACTACTTCATTTTCTTTCTTTGTCCTTGGTAATGCTTTTGCTTTTGGTTTAGGTTCTTCTATTGGTTTAGGTTCCTCAGTAACTGTTTCATTTTGTTCAACCACTTCATTATTAATAGGTGCTTCGTCTGTTTTAGTTTCATTATTAACATCTACTACCTCAATACTTGTCATATAATATAGTCTATATAGTTTCTATATGGAACATTTATAGAATATATTCAAATAATCTTGCTTCTCACGAACAAAAATGAAAATGAACCATTAACCCCATTCAAAATAATTTCACTACCTAATGAATCAGACAGCCAAAAGTCTAACTGTTTAAAACTTCTATTTGATACATCCAACTAATCTAACGGGTTCATCTCATTATCAAAGACAATTCCTGCGTGTGGCGCTGTGACTGGAACCTTTTTTACTACTGTACTGTCACCCGTCCTCAAATGTACTTGATTATAATTAGACAATTGAGAAGAATCAATATAGATATTTCTAATAGGTTGAAGATTAATAAACTCAGAAACATAAGGATTATCATACTGATAAACTGCAACTTGATAATTGCCTAAAACTTCATTAACAGACCGCAAGTTCTTAGCATCAAAACTTCCATCCCAAATATAGTCAGCATATATATTATTTTCATGTGTTCATCAGTTAATACTGCGAGTTGTCTATCAGGATAGATTGAAGAATTTGTTATCAGTTTTAACACTGTAAGTAACTTCATAAGTATTTGAGAAATTAGTATTATCAACAACACCGTTTAATTTGGTTTTGATTCTGTCGTCAGTTCTGAGCCGGTAAATACTCCTTCATCTAACTGTAATGCTAAATAATGAACATTGCCTTCATCTGGAACTAGTGGAGAAGAATAAATGTATAGTGTATTATTTATTCCTGACTGAATTGAATACCACGAGTTCGGCAATGTTACTTCATAAATGTAACATTGAACGCCATGATCAGTTTGTAATGTTTCTGGCAACTCAACTCTCAAATTTCATGATGTCCCTGATATTCTATGTGCGCTGTCAATATAAACCTTTTTGTAAGTCAAGAGACCATGTTATTGATTAGAACATAAATTGTCTAATAAAAAACATTCTGTTGCTTAGGGCAAAGCTGTAAGTCAACTTCTCATGTATGAAAAGTTGCTTAGGACTATGTCGTAAGTCAGCATTATTAGTTGCCTGATGAACTAATTTATAACTTTAATTCTATGATTAGGAATAAAAAAAAAAGCTAACTTATGAAATGAAACACGGCAAGGTTAAACATTATCAACCTTATAAACAAAAAACAACTGATGTCATGAAACAAACTGACAGCGATATTAAACAGTTGTATTCTAGTTGAAATTTAACTGGTGCACAAGGATTTAGTAGAGCGCATGGTAATGGTAAAGGTTTTTTCTTGATGGCGATAAACTATATATAAGCGGAACATTTGGAAAAGGAACATTCGGAGGTGCTTTTAATGACATTCTGGCAGATGTAGGACTTCCGTTTAAAACCACAATTTACTCACAACGATATAAAGACACACCAAAAGCATTGGATGAAATCAATGAAGTTAAACACTTGGTTAGTCACTCAGTAGGTTCGTCTGTATCTGCTCAATTAACAAAAGATTATCCTGAAGGAAAATTAAGTTTAACCACTTACGGAGCGCCATTTATATCACGAGGGTCTAAAATTGCTGATGATTACAATAATTTCAGAAGTATCTTAGACCCTGTCACTATGCTGACCGTGCTGCCATAACTGTTTGTACTGCTTCGTTAAATCCACCTACCAACCACGATTTCATAACTGGATACAGAGACCAAGGAAAAGATGTTTCAAGAAGCATTGAACCGGTAAAGGAGATATTATAAATAATCTAAATTATGCTAATCATACAACATAAGAAATATGACAATGAAACAACGGATGATATGATTAAGAATGAAAATAAAAAGGGTAAGAAAAGTTCATACGAAGAAGTTAGAGAAATAGTAATAAAAAGTCTAATAACCCTGTTGAAGATAAGTTTAAGAAGAAGCAAAATTAAAAAATTGTTTTAAAAAGAAAAGAATTCTAATCAGAAAGATTCTGCAAAACTATTGAATTTAGTTTAAACTATTTCTAAAAAATGAAAAAGTAATCTAATTGATAATGTCTCATTCGAATTGAATAAAGGAGCAAGTTATATCAATGAGAGGCGTTCTGTCTCGTTTTTCCTTCTGGATCAAACATCTACACGCCTTCATCAGGTCAGCGTGTGTTGAAAATAGCGTTAAACGCCGAAGATAATACTTGGCTTGACCCACAGAGTGTAACGGTTTTCACTGTTGAAAACACTGACACGTCAGACAATAAACGCTTAAGACCGTTGTCTCCTGCTTGTTCCTTTTTAGAAGAGTAAGACTAATTGCTGGTAATCAACTTGTTGAAGACATTGATTACTACAACCGAAATCCTCAAATGATGAGTTGCTTGATGCAAAAAGGAGCAAGAGACAATGAGGACGCTCAGAGTTTTGCGTTAAAGGTATGATGATGATTTAAACACGCGTCGTGCAGTTCCTGTGTCGGGTCATATTGGTCCTGCATATGACGCTTACACAATTCCCGGCTTTACAAGAAAGATGGTCGTAGGATTTAAACCGATGCTTGGTGTGTTCAATCAATTTAAGTATATAACGTTAAAAGCTTGTCCTCTTGTTTTAGAACTTGAACTGGTTTCAAATTTTACTGATTGCGTTGTTACAGCGGGTGGGGCGGGGTTTCCGGCAAGTGGCAACACAGACTCAAACATTCATACGAGCGAGCGGTTCTCAATTAGTAACGCGTTCCTACAAAGTGATTTGGTGAGCTTGGGCAATGTCCTTCAGAATAAATACGTTGCAAAAGAACCTCCAATCACATATAATACTCATATTTGTCCATCTAATCACGTTCCTAATGGTTCATCAAATTAACACTGTTGTTCGTTCAGTATCTAAACTCGTTGCCGCGTTCATCTCTTTCAGCAAAAGTGGAGCAGGCGATACTCACGTTACGAAAGAATACAACAACTTATATCATCCTATGTATTATTTGAACTACCAAGAAAGTGGATACTACAATCCTGACCATGATTTAGAATTTCAACTTCAATTAGGTTCCAAACTATATCCTGAGCATCCTTGCCGTTCATTGACGCAAGCATTCTATTGTTTACGAAAAGCATTGAATTTACCATTGTTCCATCAACATCATTTATCAATTAAATATACTGCTTATCGTGTTGATAAGTTTATCTTTGCTATGAATTTCGAAAAGGCTCCCGATAGTTCAATTGCTGGGATTAACACTAAAGCCGGACAACAGCTTTTAATTCGTGTGAAACCTATTGGAGATATGACAACGGCAAATATGCCTGACACAATATATCTAACATTAGTGAGTGAGCCAATACTTTCCATTAGAGACGCCGGAGTGCAGATACTCGATTAAAAAAGTAAAAAAGATGATATTAGAAAATAATATTATCGGTTTCTAGTATTAATGGAAAATGCCTTCAATGCATTTAACAAATATTGAAAATGTTGTAGCACACACCATTAGCGAAGTAAATTCTACAAGCGGTGTGACAAACATTAGAAACATATATGCTCATCAATCTGATATAAATGGTTTACTCAACAACAAAGCAGACCAAATAGACACCTATACCAAACAACAAATACATTCTTTTTTTAACGATATAACTCAATCACACAATAAGACTGAAGTTCATGTATTGTCAAATACTATTAGTTCAAACGCTCTCTTCATTATGAATAATACAGCAACCATAGCGAGTAATTTAGTTAATGGTTCATCAAATACATTTTTGAGAGGTAGTCTAACAACAACTTCAAATACAAATTTTAATAATATTCATCAAATACACATTTGATAAGTAGTTTGAATGCTACATCAACAACTTGTTTATAAGATTAGTTCTAATTCTAATTTAATTAATACAAATATTAATATTTCATCAAATATACATTTAATAAATAATTTCACTTCTACTATAACAACTAACTTTAACAATCTTAGTTCTAATTCTAACTTATTAACAGGATTAAATAGCACAATAAGTTCACATATTACAGCAATATCAGATTTACACAATGGAGGTTCATTTAATGAAGCAGATTATTACAATAAAACATCAACTAATGATTTACTATCAGAAAAGGTAGATACATCAATATTAAATAATGCACTAATACATAATATAACAACCACATCAACATTTAAAATAGCAGAAATTGAAAATTACAATTATTATCACGAATTATGCAATGATTATATTGATACTTCTGTTCATGCAAGTTTGACAAGTTCAACGATGTTTTTAAATCAACGAGGTTTTCGTGATGTAGAAATTAATAATTCGTCAACTTTTCAAAATGATAAAATAGTATTAAATCAAAATACTAGAATGATAAGTAGTTTACAAGTATCAGGTTTAGTTTCTTGTTCGTCTATTTTAGATATAACAGGTTCTGACGCTCGTTGTGTTTTACAATCAAATGAATTAAGTGGATTGATAACAGGGAATACAAATACAACTAATTCAATAATTACTATGAAAAATTCGCAGGATACATCATTAGGTCAAAAGTTAGACAAAATAGATACTAACGCTCAATCAATAGCAGGGGCTAGTAATTTTAGCGGTAATACAAATTTACGTGGTGATTTAAATATGCTTACTACTGGTAGTATAATATGTAGTCAATTTAAGACTACACCACCACCTGGTTTAGGATTGCAAATGACATTTCAAATGTTTAATCGTGAATTTAATACTAATAGAGATGGTAGAATTTGGATGAGTGGCGCAGGAGGTCAGTGGGAAACTCAAATAGGAGATGCTAATGTTGGCCGTGTGTGGGTAAAGGATAAGTTCGGTTTAGGCGCTGTTGGCGTTAATGGTTATGTTTTAAACTGTGCCGGACAAGCGAGATTTACCAGCGCTGTTCAGTTTGTAGGAACTGACAACGCAATAAGTCTTAATAATGGTTCATGTTTAAACTTTAATAATAACGGTTCAATACGAAGATATACACTTGATGCAATAAAAGGTTTATATATGGCTCATAATGATTTCGTTGCTGTTGGTGCTGGCGATATTTCTAATGCTTCTAATCTATTTTGTATGTGTGATGATTTAATGAAAAATAAACCTGTTGATGTGTTAGGAAATATTTATACAAATGCTGATGTTAATTGTGATAATGTTAGTATTGATACTGATGGTAAATTAACAATTGATACAAACTGTGAATTATACAGAAATGTTAGTGCGTTTTCATCTGTTGATGTGAGAAATACTGATGCTAATTCTTCAATTAGATTTATTTGCGGAGACCCGCCGTTCAGTCTAAAATCGTTGGAGCAGTTAATACCGGATGGACTTTTAACACTGCTACTGCTGATGTTGTGAGTAATTTACTTGCTGACGATGTTTATGTTAAAACTGGTGGAGCATTAAGAAGTAATCATATAGCACCTAATGGTCGGACATTACTAACTGTCAATACTAGTTTAGCAGTTCAAAATGCTTATTTAGCAACTAACACCATTCAATCATTTGATTTAACAACGGTTTCATTTTTAGAAAATATGTCAATGACTACCGGAACAGATATATTAATGTGAACAAGTGAAATATCAACTTATTTTGATGGAACCAATTTATGTACAATTGATGTAATGTTCAGAACAACAAACACAGCATTTAGAGTAATCGACAACTCCACGGCATTTTCAACATGATCTATTGATAAGACGTATGGAACAGCAGTAAATACTGCAAGTTTTACAAATAACGCCACATCAACTTTTAATGAAAATTTAACAGTTAATAATAACGAAACACTATTTGTCAATAATACGCAAGATGCTTCAGGCGATGCTATTGATATTACTGCTGGAAGTGTAACCATAAATGGAAGTTTAATAGACAACTCTGATGCAAGATTGAAATACGATGTAGTTTTGCTTAAAAGTACTTGTGTTTGTATGATTAAGAATTTAAACCTAAAAAGTTCAAAAGAAAAGCCATCCATATAGGTTATATTGCTGATGATTTATTAAGAGCAATTCCGAAAGAAACTAGTAATGTAGTTCATACCGGTCGTGAATATTTAGGTATTGGATATACAAAAGTCCCAATATTATTACATAAAGCTTTACTGGAAGTGATCGAGAAACAAGAAAAATTGGAAGAAGAAATTAAGGAACTGAAAAGAGAAAAATCTAAACAATATTATACTATGGGTCATTCAAATAGTAATGTTGAAACTTCAAGTATTGACAAATCAACGATATTGATGTAGAACAATTAGAGTTAAGTAATATTGATAGATTACAGTTGAAAGCAATAAGCAAATGAGCGCACAACCAGCATCATAAAGGGCATCATAAAGCGGATGGCGAAGCCTTGTAAATCGCAATGGCACGACAGTCGCCTAAGGTATTGACGGGTATGCTTACTCTTGAGCACCCTTTTGCTCCCCGCCACCTTAGATGACTGTCAAAAGTGCCTTTCTGGGGTTTTCCAGTTCAAATACCGCCGACGCCTGCCTGTGTGTTTCCTACGTTGGACACCTATTGCCTTTGATCGGGTGTTTGGTGCGCTACTCCATTGGAAAGATGCCTTTACAAGGGAAGGGGCAGCGGACACAAGTTTGGCACCTTTCCGGACTAAACACCCTGTTAAGGAAGAGGTTAAGCAAAAATGGACAAGACCCTGCCGGTCAGCGAAGACCAACCCATCAAAAGTGACAAGTATGTATCCATGGCACAAGCAACGTGCCAGAACAAAGATGATGTTTCACATCTGACCCACATAGCAAACAGAGTGACAGCAACATAGCAAACAGAGTGTTTTGAAAAATTGCTTTTTAAAGCAGTCTGTTTTGAAAAACGGTTTTCAAAAACAGTCTGTTTTCAACACGGCAAACAGAGTGTTTTCATGTTACGGTCACATCATGACGCACCTATTGGCATCATCAGGGGGCTCTGACTCCTGTGTATTTTCAGCGCCTCGTCTTAGTCCGTCTCTGAGTGAGATGGCAATTGAAATATCAGCACAAAGGGCACTGTTGTGAAACGCAACCTCCCATCCTTGATTTGATGGTAGTCGAAGCAAGGTCTGCTTGCGACATGTTCAAAGAATGCGTTGCCGCAGGAAGCCAAGCATGGGAGGAACACAAACACCGTTGCCAAACGCACCCCGATGCATTGGCTCCTGTCGCGCAGCTCTCTGATCCAATCTGCAATCACATGATGGCTGTTTCCAGCCCAAGCTTTTTGCACAGGCGCTTTACGACATCAGGGTAAGCGAATCCAACACTTTTAAATCTACACCGCTCCATTGGTGTCCATGGATCTGCTGAGACAGCAATGCCCACACTGTTTGGAGAGTCCGCGCACACGAAGAGATGCGAGTTCCTTTGCCGCATTGTGTAGCAGCATCGTAGAGACACTGCGAGAAAGGACCCCTACTTGGATTCTTGATGGCAGGCGCGAAAGTGCTCGCACAAACAAGGGGCAGCTTGAGACCCTGCTCACTGAAGGCATACTGAGCTACTCGCAAGAAAACTCCACGTGAGGTCAACAAGCCTTTGGCTCGCAAAGTTTCCTGCTCTAAGCTCTGAGTTTGCAAATTCTTCTTCTCGAGATTTACCTTGGAGTGCAAATAGCGAAGCAAGGCGCGGTCTCCCAATTAGGACATGTCTATGAGTCTATTTACAAACGAAAACTTAGCCAATGGGGTCAAATTGAGAAATAAGATTCTGCCAAAGCTCCCGCATGATGTCTTTGTCCTTCTGCATCAACATGATCTGCATCTGCATGATCTCTTTGTCCTTCTGCATGAGCTCCTTCAACGCTGCCTGCCTGTCTGGTGGATTTATCGTCGATTTCGTTGATCACCTCAAGCAGTGATGGCTGATCGGCACCCATCCTTTGCGCTCTCACTGCTGTTGGCCTGTAGTGGGCAGGCCTTCCCCCTGTGAAGCAGCATAAGCTCGGAAACAGGCACAAAAGCAGTCGCCTGTATCCATGACGAGGCATGGCTGCTACTCGCTCTCCATGGCTTGATTGGAAGCGCTGATGGCGGACTTCATCAATACCGCCCCTGATACATCCCCAGAACACTTAAACGTGGTCTGTAAATGAACCGTGACAATGACCATCTCCTAGCCCCTTTCAAACGAAAAAACTGTTCAAAAACTGAACCCTGTCCCCCAGAAAATTCCCCAGAAACCCCTTAGGTGAAATGAACAACATGATTGACTTGTTCAGTTTCATCCTTGAACCCTGAAACCCCAACCTGAAAATCCCCTACCCCAAGCGCCCCCTTTCAGCCATTTTCCCCCCCCCCCCACCCACCCAACCCCCACCCCAACCCACCAACCCCCCCCCCCCGGCAAGCGCCCAGTCCTTCAGCTCCAGGAACCTCCGGTCCTTCTGCAGCTTCAGCAGGCGCTGGGCCTCCGCCGCCCGCGCCGAGCTCATGCCGCCCCGCCGCGCGTCCGCGCCGTTCAGCGCCCCGAAGAGCAGCGCGCCGATGGCCTGGCGCGCGGAGCTGAGTCATAATCACCACCCTTTGCATTAAAATGCTTTCGTGAGCCAAAGAATTCAGAAGGCGGAGATCGGCAAACAAAAATGGCGAGGGCATCCTCCACGTTGTGATTGTGGCTCGGGTGGAAGGTTTGGGAGCCCAGCACCCTGTTCCGAAGCTCGTTGTGGCTCATTCTTTGCGGCTACAAGGTTCTGGCTTGAAACGTTTGGTTTCCTTGCAACACCACAAAACAAGGGCTACCCCCCCCCCAAAAAAAAAAAAAGAAGGGAAACAACTGGGGAGCGCGAGGGCTGAGGAATGACCTCGGGGCGTTCCGGGTTTTGGGAATGAACACGTCCCCTTAAAGAAAAAAACACTTGTGGGATAGTTTATACAGGTCATTCCATTTCTCATTCCCTGAGAACCAGCAAAACAAAACAGCGGATGCGGGCGTTGTTTTGAGTTGGAACGCGCGGATGGATGAGGCCACGGCACGGTGTATTCCGGTATTCATATGGGGCGTGTGCATTCCATTGAGTCAGAATCCTTGGACGAGGTTGCAACTAGTGGAATGTGTCTCTTGTGGAATGTGGATCTGTAAGGGAGGAGGTGAGCCAGTTTGAAGGATGCGCCTGAGGTTGGTGCCGGAAGCGTGTGGGAAGAACTGTGGGAAGGTTGCGGAGTTGGTTTTGTTGGATCATGTGGAGTAGTTGAGAGAACCCTTGGATGGACGAGATTGCACTAGTTGGCAGGTGGTGTATACCTTCATAGGGCTTCATCCATGTCGACCGGTGGGTTTTGTCCATCCACACTATTTGGATGGTTCAACAGTTATTTTGCGGGTCATTGCCAAATTTGAAAGACTATAAGGGCCTAAGACAATTAGAACGGGGTTGTGGGGTAGCTTAAAATGACATTTAGTCATGAATCATAGGAGGTATACTATGACTGGGCTGTCCACCTAAAAAGCCACGATTCGCTGGAAAAAACTCAAAAAATGGGACCCATTCCAGGTGGGTGGTTTCCTTTTGGTGTCCGTTTGAAACCATCCAAAAAGAGGGTGTCCCTCTTTAGGGAACCCCCCCCACCACCCCCAAAATGGGCAGGTGTCCTTTTGCTTTCCTTCAGAAAACAAACATGAAAAAGGGACACCCAACCGCCAGCCTGGCAACAAAAAGAGAAAGGAGGACACGCCCAAGTACCTCGTCAGGTCTTCGTCCCCTGGACCTCGCCTCGTTGGGCCGCTCCACCGCCTCCTCCGCCTTGCGCCGCTCCGCCTCCCGGAACATGCGTCAAGGCGATGACCCCCAGAAGCTGCCCGCGGTGGCTCGTGGATTTTCCCGGAGAAAAATACGCGCCAAACCCAGAAAGGGGTTGAATGAACCACGGAGCGATTTGGGTAGAGCAACTACAACTTCCCTATGAGCCGGTCTCGCAGGGCAACCGCAGGGCAACCGCAGGGCAACCGCAGGGCAACCGCCATTCAGGCTGCCCTTTGAAGGTTCATGGCCTTGTTTGTTTGTTTGTTTGTTTGTTTGTTTGTTTGAACATGCGCACCTCCAAATGGTTGGCTGCCATGAGCTGTCCTGCAAATCTGTCCAAAAAAAGGGGCGGGCTGTTTTTGATACACAGCCGCATGTTGGGTTGACGACTATGCGACAAAACCGCCCAGAAAATGGTTTGGCTGGGACAGTGTTGTTGTTGATTTCCAGCGGTCTTCTGAATCTATTTGGGTTGAAAGATGACCCCCCCCCAAATCAATCCCCACTGCTCGCACCCCGCCTGCACGCTCTGCAGGCGTTGGGCCGCATCCTCCAGTCGCAGGTCCACGGACAGAGCCGGGAGCTCCGTCCAGGGCAGATTCACCTCGGGGCCCCGGAAGCTGGCGATCGGCAGCTGCTCCATCCGGAGAAACCGAGCCACTGCAAAGCCGCGCAGGCGCGAGGCGCGAAGGATCGGGGTGGGTGACCCGGGTTGACGGGTCAAGGACTTGGGAGCTTGGTTCCGGCTTTCGCACAATTTGATTACTGTGGCAAGGAGGCTTGGTTGCTTGGTTCTGGCGTGCAGAAGCAAAAAGTTCCTGGCAAAGCAGAAGCCATCTACAAGTACTGCCATCAAGGCATCAAGCTGAAGCGTTGGGCTGGGTGCATGCTCTGATCGGGGCGAAGCAAGTTTCAGCTCGCCCCCTGGACCGAAACTTCGCCCGCCGCTCACTTACAATGCGACTCCCCCCTCTCCCATCCGATTCCTGGCGACTCCCCACCTTGTTTCTCCGCGATCTTCCGGCTCATGCCCGTCTTGGGCAGAACACGAACATGCTATGCTTGGTTGCCAAGCAATGGACTAGACAATCTCATTCGCAACCCTCTCCCGCACCTGGCGCGATTCAAGTGAACCAAAACAAATGTGGCTGCCGTGAACGACAAGACAAATTGGTGTCCCCTAGTCTTTGTGGGACTCTTGGTGACCACCCCCTTCTCGTCCCTCGCAAATGGAGCAAAGACAATTGAGGATATGCTGAGCATATTTGACCGAACCTCAAATGAGCCTCTTCCGCCCAGCTCTCCGTCGCGCCAGCCTGCTCTGCACGGCAGCGGAGCATCTTGGTCTCCGCATCCAAGTGAGTCCCTGGCACCCCGCTTAAAGACCAGTCTCGCTCGCCATGAAGTTGCGGCCAAAATCAGCGGCCTCGATCTTGGAGCTCGGCCAACTTTCTCGACAGCTCCTCCGGACCACGATGCTTGACGCGAGCCGCGAGCGGCGAGCGCGGCGAGCGCGGCGAGCGTGGCGAGCGGCCCGGCCTTGCAGTCGCCCCTCAACACATTGTACGTCCCTTGGTTGTGGTCCTCCTCGTCCTGGCAGGAAAAAATCGGCCCGCGCGAACGCCTAGCCTTGGCCTGGCGGGAAGCAATCCTCGACCCATATGAACCAAGCAAAGTAAAGCACTGGTTACCATCACGGGTCTTTGAAGCTTGATAATATAACTCGCTACCTCCAGGCACCACAACTCTTGGGCTTTCTCTGTTTCGATCCTGGCAGTTCCGACACAAAACCGGGACATACACGACAAGCTTGTCCAGCTAAGCTAAACTGTGGGGAATTTCAGAGATCCCCCCAAAATGGCAACCCTAAAGTTGGCCTCTGCAATCAGCGCGGGGCCTCGCAGCGGCGCTGAAACCGCTTGATCTCGTCCTGGGCCTCGTTTCCGGCGTCGCGTCGGGCATGAAGATGAAAGCAACTGAAATGAATCCAGGGATGGGCTGAATGCCAGGATCTACTCTTGTCAAGTATTCAGTATTCAGCCTTTTTCGGTGAATGTCCGAACATGGCAGGGGATCACAGCTGAGAAGCGAACGATCTCAAGGTCCTCTCTCATGATGGACAAGTCCTCCACAGCCCTGCAAGGTTTCGCTTCAATGATGCCACTGCATGCTCCAGGCGCCTGCGGTGGTTGGCCTGCAGCTTGGTGTACTCTCGGGCGTAGCTGAGCAACTCATCCTCGCGGCCATCGGGCGCGAGCCGCTCGCCGCTCGCAGCCGCGAAACGAAGAAGCAGAGAGAATCTCTGAGGGCTGGGCGCGCCCGGAAGCCACAGTCCCGCGATACCGAAGCTCCCGATCCTTCGAGCGCCACCCAAAACGCCCATGCACTCTCAACTCAACATGCTCCTGAAACCCCTGGACGATCAGCTCTGTGCGATTCAGGATTTCATCGGCAGCCTGCCACTCACTCCCGCGCAGAAAGCGGGCCCAGCCAACAAAAAGCACGGGTAGGAAGAGAAGCGGCACACGACGCGGCACGTTTTCGATATCCAGACCTTACAAGACTTTGAGACTTGAAATCTGGAGCTTGGCCGGGCGCAGGCAAAGAATACACCTCAATCTGAGTTGCCAAAGAAAGCAACTCCGTTGGCTCTTTGGGTGCTTCCCAAAATAGGGAACCACTTTCGAATTGCGAGGCTTCTCAAAGACATAACAGCGCCCCCCTGTTTCAGGAAGCACACGTTGGTCACAAAGAATCACAGCTGCTTCTGGCCAAATTTCGGGTGCCGCTGCCCTTTTACAGCTGCACAAATTGACATGCAGAGATATGATTTTGGCTGAGTGCCGCCCCTTGTTCAGTGCTGGGGCTCTGCACTTGACGTGCCGTGCGGCATCACTTCCGGCTTGATTTTGAAATCCCGGCAACCGGCCAATCTACATTGCTGGGGCAAAAAAATTCAGCCGGGGATGTTGGGTCGCCCGAGTCGCCGGGTATCCCCAACAGCCCCGGACCCCCCCAAGACAACCCTCCGGAACCCTCCCTCCCATATCCACCAGATCCCCCCCGCTCTCATCGGGTGAACGTTTTGCCCCAACGTCTCATACCGGGTCAGCATTCTTGAAGGACTGGTGGAGCTGAAGCTCTTCAACGCTCTCCTCCTGGTCCTCCAACAAGGAGCCTCACACCGAAGCCAACTGCTGGGATGGAATACCCGAACCCATTGAGGGAAACCACGACAAGAAAAAAATCGGCCACCCAGTTCTTTGGCGCCCACTTGAGCATGCATATTAGTAAGGGGCCAAAGGGCGAAGTTCGAAAAAAATGCATGTCCGCAACTTGCGAGGTTCCCTAGTGAACTTCATAGCCAGATTTACTGTCACTGGGGCCCCTGATTCGGATCGTTCTGCACGGGGCACGCTTCACACATGCCCCAAACCGGGGCCTTGTTCATGACGGGCGCCAATGAAATTTGCTTTTGAACTTTCTGGTTTCGCAGGGTTCAGGGTGCATTGAGTTGGACCATGAAAACCATGTGAGCGCTGGCCGACATTTGTGTCTCAGGCTTCACAGCCTTTGAGCGGGTATCGCTTTTTGGGGGGCGCTATTGTGTGACAGGTTCTTCGTATGCCCTATTGTTGTACAGGTTCTTCGTGCATTCTTAAAGGGCGGGCGGGGTCTTCTTCAAAACCATGCAGGAATAAAAACACCTCATATTAAAGCTTTCATTTGATTTGTGATGCTTTGCATGGGATGTGAGGGACAAGGACTCTCAATCTGCAAAAAGGCACGTCCCAAAGTAAGAGATCTTCATCACCGACTTGTGCTCAGCCCCGACGCCAAAGCACGTAGCCAGCCATTTTGTGCAATGCATGCCAACTGGGAACCCTGAAATGGGCAACCCTGAAAACGGCCGCTTTGGCCCACGAATCCACAAAAGTTCTAGTCGTGGTTACCGTCGTGGTTGCGACATGCAAAACACATTCCTCCACATCTTCGGGTCAGGGAGGCACTCATATCCCCACTAAGATAGCCTAAAATGGGTGGTGCACAAATCGCAAAATCCCATTGGTTTTGACCCACAGCCACCTCTTCGGCGAGGCGTTCTTCTTTTCGGCTGAGGGCGGGACTCATCTCCAAACGCCGGAAGCGGTTGAGGTTGGTCTCTATGGTGATCTCCTCCACCGCGTTGCCGCAGCCCTCGTTGCACTCATCACAACGTACCTGGCCAAAGAGTTGACGCACCTGGGTCCAGCAGGGAATGAGGGAATGAACCCTTTGAACGACCCCTGGGTTCATTCCCGCATTCCCTACTGAGCACCAGCAAGTTAAGTACCTGGCAGAATGGGTGTGGCATTTTGGATGCTGTTGGGGGTTGGTTGAAAGGGAAAGCGTTTCACAGGTCCTGTCTTATAGACGCGTTTTGGACGCTCCAATGCACCCTCCCAACCCACAACCTGCTTGTGACTGACCCCCCGTGGCGGGTCAAATGAACAAGGTCCCCTGAAAGCAGCACGAGCCTGACGAATCTCGAACATGGCTCCTCAGAGATCGCTTGACCCAAAGTGATGCCTCCAGAGTCAAAGACTGGGTCTCCCAAACCAAGGACCGGAAACGATCCCAAACCCAAGAAGTCAACCCACCATCACGTGAGTTTCAGCGCGGCGACTGTCCGCTGACCTGGTGCCCTCGCTCACACGAAACCAGTCGCCGCAATGAGGCCGGCGCGAATGATCCTCGGGACGTTCCAGCCCCTGGCTGCCGCCACTCCTCGAATTGACGCAGCACCAGAGATTCGGAAGCGTCCGCAGGTTTCGTCCCCGAGCTGCTGGGTCTGGATCTACGAATCAAGGTACACCAAAACCCTCAAACCCCAAAAGCCCAAAACCCCAAAACCCCAAAACCCCAAAACCCCAAAACCCTCCCAAAACTAAGCCTACAAAATTAGGGGGCCCCCCTTCCAAGAATCTGAATCCACAAGCGAAGTGGGACAATCCGGCCTGTCAGTGGCACCGCGAGCCCCGCGCAAAGGCACAGGAGGACCACGTGGGTGGTGACGCCTCAACGAGAGTGAGTCCCTTGAAAACTCCCTAGGTTTCACTGACATCCCCAAACACACCCGAAGAAGGGGGCTGACTCAACCGTCCTCAAAAAGAACCTGGGACGGAAGCAAAGAAAGCAACGTGATACGCTTTGCGGGTGTTTCGTGTGGTTTTACTCCAAATCACAGTTTGAAGAGAGCGGGATGGTGCCCACGATGGAAACTCCGTTCAGGGAACGGACGGTATGTAGTTCAACTAACATGACCCCCAAACAAGTCGGAATGTGTTGAAGGGGGCCTCGAACCATCCCCTTTGTTCAGTGGAGAGAAAAGAAGAAGAAACAAAAAAAACCAACCTGCATGCAATTATGCAATTCGGGCACGCTCTCGAATCCAAATGTGAGAGGTGCGCCAAGCCCCAAAGGCCGGAAACTTGGTCCAGATCTCCGAGATATTCTCCCGAACATCTCCCTTCAAGACTGGAGGTCCCAATGTCCAGAGCCAGTCACGAATGCCCCGAACTAAGACTCTGGGGCCCCGAAAGGTCAGAAAGATTTGGAGACTAAACACACCATATTGTAGAGTGTTCATTTGCTAGATGTTCGTTCTTGAAGGTTCACTTCTGAAGCCCGGGAATGAGCGAACTTACTCTTGGAGCTGCGGTTGGCCCAGTTTTCAGCACAAGTTAACAGGATCCCACCCAGAACCTTCTGGAACCACTGGATGCTCGGTTTCTCTGGCTACCGGCCACTCTGGAACCCTCTGAAACCCTTTTTGGAATCCTTTGGACCCAGGAACCCTCGGCCCCATCCAGGCCACTCTCGTATTTTTCCGCGCTAAAGCATATCAGCGGCCAAACTTCCGCCAGAAACTTCCGAACGGTGTTTCGGCATTTTCACCCAGATCCCAAACCCCAGAGTCTATTTAAGCAGAGACCAAATCCATAGCTTCCAGGGAAAAAAGCAAATGTTCCAGGTCATACCTGGGCTGTCCCCGTACAAGTGAATGACTTGTGTATTAAAAACAAATGTATATATGTATATGTGTATAGAATTCAACACCACCAAAAAAACTCAGTTGAACAACTACACCAACTAAAAGCACCACAAAGGAACCCAAGGACTAAAGAAATCCCCCTCAAAACCCCAGCTCCCCACAGCTCCTCCCTCCCATCGCCCCAGTCCACGCATCCACGCCTGGAGCTCCTTGCGGCCTCTGCGCCCGCAGCCTGGCCACGGATCTGCGTTGGGAGGTGTTTGCTTTTTGTTTGTAAATAACTAAATAAATCATGGTTTTAGAAAAAGAAGAAGAAAAAAAAGCGAGACTCTTCGCCCAGTGGTTTGTTGGACTTCCGTCATGGCTCCCCCTCTCCCTTTCAGGGTCTCCGCGATCGCGCGGTTTCTTTTGGTTGAAGCTTTCCCGGGAATAGACAAAAAATTATCCCCTGCCTTCTGTCCCCCAAACGGATGCACCAAACTGGAGAAGAAAAAATAAAGCAAGTAGAGAGAGCTGGACTTTTGAGCTTCTACTGCTTTGCAGGAAGCTGCCAGGGGCGCCCGTCCGTCTATGACGACAGTCAGGCTTAAACCTCCCTTCTGCAGTTCTCCAAGTAGCATAGGATCTTCAAAGTTGGACGTTGGCCTCATTTCAGTGTTCTTTGGAAGCTTTTCGGGCAGTTCAGCGGCTGCTGCTTTTTCTCGCTTTTCGGGCGACCTCTCTGGACCCCCGAGAGGGACAGCGCCTCCCGCTGTCCAGGTGTACTAGCTCAGGGAAGGTGTCCAGCAGCATGTCCTGCATCAGCAAGCCCAGCTTGGACCCGGCTTCCTGCAAGCGCAGACATCTGGGTTGGCAACAACAAAAAACCGCCAGGGCAAGTGGATGCGCCTGGGAATCAGCACCAAACATGTCGTGTCGCCGCCCATGAAAGTCACTACCACGTATCAAGCAAACGAGTGGTGCCACGCACAAGTCAGTTCGGTGCACCAAGTTCCACAAACAATCTGGCAGTGCTCCATGATGCCGTCAATGGAAAAAGCAGTCAAAATAAGGGGAAGCCAAAACTGGTGGCTTTCCTTCTGGTTGCCTTTGAATCTACCACACAGTTACCCTCAAAGAGCAACACATCATGATATTTTGTGATTCGGGCACGAGCCTGTGCCCAGGCAATGGGTAAGTTGGGGTAAACAAGCCACAAAAGAAAGGTTCCCCAAAAGCAAACCAATCCCCGGTCCCAAAGATCAGGGTATCCCACACACCAGAGAACAACAACCAAAAGGGAAACAAACCAAACAAGAAAAGGGTTAACCCGCAACCTTGGTCGACAACAGGCCGCACGACTGGTCCCTACCAACCTGGCGGCGGCCCGAGGTCTCTTTCTCCCCCGAGATGCCGTCGGTCGACGCAGGGGTTCGGCGACGCCCATTCGAGGCGCGACGGAACCCAAAACTTGAGCCAAAACACCACAGGTCGGTCACTAACGCGACGTCCCTGATGATGATATAACCATGGCTAATCACACCCCCCTCACGAGGAGCCCGTCATATGACGGGTGGAGCGTGCCATTTACTGATAGGATTTAACTGCTCGCATGTGTCCGCAAACAGCTGGACACTACCGCCGTCAGCGGTGGAGCAAACCCACAAAGGCAGTTGCGCGACATCCCGGGCATTAAATTCCCGCCACCACCCCGAATTAATCGGGGTAACGCTGTCCAACATACCTTGTGGAAAGTCCACATGACGACACTAGGTCACAACTGTTTGCATCAACAATGCAAGAAGTTTAATTCTTATCAGAAGCCATGAAATAAAAGATAACGTATGTCCATTAGTACCCTCGCCTAACGGCAAGAGGTACTCCTGACCATGCGTACCTGAAAAATGCTTGAATTCCGCAAACCCGGGAGTAACCCCCCATCAGTTTGCTTTCCCTCTCACTCACACTGCTTCCTGATGAACACGTCCAGCAGCCCAGCAGCGGTATGGGAGAGACATGACCTCCGCGCCTCAGCGGTCCGGGAGGAACATCACCACCTCCGCACCGCGCCGACCATTGGAGAATGGACGCAAGCCTATCGGCCGCAATCCTCGTGACTCAGCCTACCGGCTATCGTCACGTCTCCTCCGGTCACGTCCGCCCCGCGCACGGTCCCTATCACGATCCCTTTCGGATCTCCTGCGATCATCTCGCCTTCGATCTCGCTCCCGATCGAGTGAATCATCATCACGACGATCACGAGCATCGTCCCTCCTCCGGTCTCGATCATCCTCGCGCCGCGGACGGTATCTGCGCCTTCTCGACTCTCTGGAATCCCTGGTGTCCACGGTCCTAACGGACCTCCGAGAAGGAGTACGGGAAACATCCGATTCCCTACGCCTCCTCCCAGATCGAGAGTTCGTCACGATCTGGTTGAGAGCCTCCAGTGCCGACGCGTCCTCACCATTTCTGATGAAATCCCTGACCTGCTTGTTCAGCACTCTGTTGGTGGAGATCGACAAGAAAGCGTCCACCACCGAACTCTCAGGCAGCACCAGGAAGTGACCCTCCACCGGGCTCGCCGCAGCCCGCTCAGCAGACTGCAGCCGGATCTCCCCGCCTTCAGGCTTCTTTGCCATCGCCTTGGAGGCCGTCAAAGGCGCTACCGCATCCTTTGCCGAAGATCTGCCAAGCGCGGAGTGAAGATCATCCCCACTAGCTTCTCTCGCTGCCGCACCTGGTCTGCTGTCGACGTCGCCAGGCCTCGTGGACGCCTCCCGCTTTGTCGACTCCTTCACAGCCTCGTCGGGATCCCAACGGGATTTCCTTTCTCTCTTCTGCCCTTCGGCCGACCCGCGGCTACCGCCAGGAGCGTCACCTCCGCCTATCTTCTCCTTCTTGACCTCAACCTTCGGTTCGGCCTGCTTCGTCTCCTTAGCCACAGCTTTTGGAGCCGGAGCATTCTTCGCCTCAGATGCTGAAGCAGCCTTCCCTCTCGGCTCGGCCTTAGGAACCGGGGTCACTTTAGCCTTTGCACTCGGCCTGGCCCCTTCAACCACCATCTCGGCCCAAGACTTCTTCGGCTGAGCTGCTGCTGTATCAACCTCCATCGGAGCAGGTCCAGCATCATCCTTCGCCTTTGGGACAGATGGGCTACCGCCCTTACCAGATCCTTTACCTGGCACTTCACCTGATTTTGGTGGTGGGCCGGAAGGACTACCGCCCTTACCGCCCTTTTCCCCCTTCTTTCCTTTTCCTTTTCCGCCCTTGGGGACCGGCTCCTGCTTGGGACCAGGACCCGGCGCAGCATGATGCACCGATTGGAGTCCCTCGATGTCCACGTTCAATGGTTCGGGTTGACGACCGTCAAGAACCGTCCTCACCCTTTCGTCACTAACGTAGACGAACGGGTCACGGAAGGGTGCGGGAGGCTCCGACTGTCCGGCGCTGATCGCCTTCTGCACCTTGGCTATCGCCTCCTTCAACCTCTTCTTCTCATCGTACCCTGTCTCCGATACCATGTACTGCCTGAGCTGCGAAATCAACGCATGACTTTCCAGGATGTCCACGTCCTTTCGATGGGTCGGATACAATGGGGTCAGATGACCAGCCGCGGAGCCAATCACGTATGCCATCGGAATATAGAATGACAAGTACGTGTCATGGCGAGCGAACTTCCTAACGGAAGTCGTCATACGCCTACCCCATTGAGCAGCGTGCCTTGGGTTAGCCCGGAAGTACTCCGTGACCGACTCAAATCTATCGACTTGGTTGGTCAGAATCAGGTGCTTCGCCACCCACTTCTCCACGAACGCATCCGATGCCGAAATCCCCGACACATAGGAGAATTGGAAGAGCACCTTCGCCAGCTCATCCCACGCCGCATCGACTCCTCCCTTGTCCTCACCAAGATAAGGGGGCAGTCTGATGCCGCTCTGCACCGTCATCCTCAGATCAGATGCCATTGAATAGGAAATCAAGTTCCTCTTGATGACTCCGACCACTTCGGTGGGGATCCTCTTGGGCTTGATTTGTCCCATGGTCCTCACCCACTCCGGTACAATGCGGCACCTCTCGAAGTCTTTCTCCTCCGCGTTGGGGATAAAGTTCGGGTAGAAGACCGGGAGCGCGCATCCAGGACACAAATGCATCCCATTTGGCGTCATCTCCGCGCACCTCAAACAGAACGTGGTAGTCACATTCAATCTGACCTCTTCCCGCGATCGCCTGTGCTCTCCCCTAACGGGGGTGAAGTCACCATAGTCCCATGTCCGATGGTACACTATCGTGTAATCATCGTACATGTAGGCCGCCTTCCAAGCTCCCATGTGGATCTCGTTCCTAACGGCCAGGGTCTTCCTTCTTGTCAAAAACACGGGTCCAACCAAGGACCAGTGCACCCGAAGATCCACCATTACCACCACGCACCTACCGGAGTAGTTCCGCAGCCTGTCCCTGACATACCACGAAGGCGATACCTCAGCATCCGGCGCCATGGCTCCCACAAGTGGGATCAGGCCCTCATCCTGCCTACCATCCCCAATGGTCTCGTACACATCGGGCCTCGTGATCAATATCTCGATCATGGCCTTTCCATTTCGCCTCACCCTTTGGAGCTGAACCGCCTTCCGAAAGTCCGAGAACTTCATGATGACGTATCCCACCATGGGGAGTTCATTCCAATGCATCTCGTACATCAGAGATCCGCCAGGTGCATCTTCCTGAGTGTACCTATGCCTAACGGCACTGTAACTCATGTCGCGTCCGATCCGCGTGTGCCTAACGGCAACCAACCTGGTGCTCTCTTTGAGGAGAACGCCATTCCCGTCGTACATGACCATGAGCATCGCCTCAACTTGCCCTATCGGGAAAGCTTTGAGCGTCGGAATGAAGAACTTCCAAGACATCTCAGCGTTCTCCATGCCCGAGATCTCCTTCAGAAACCAGATGGCCTGGTCACTTTTCACCCAGTTTCCAGCCTCGCGTCCGGTCACGTTCTTCGAATAACTCCGAGACTCTCTTTGAATTGATGACCAAACCGTCGAAATCGCACGAGAGCAGTCTCATCAACTCCTTCGCCGCCTCCCGTCCTGCCACGGTGCCCACGGTCTCCTCGTAGTTCGGGAGGTATTCGCCCAACCTCGTCTTCGAGGGAACCACAATCTGGCAAGTGACGGCCTCATCAGGGATAACTCCCGTTTCCCTCAACTCTGGATTGATCTCTCGCCTATCGGCAAGATAATCCTTCCTCCCATCCAGTATCACAAGATTGTAGGTCATCTTGCTCGCTGCCTCACTAGGCCTGAACTTCCTGCTATCATCCAGCTGGTCAGGAGCAAAGGGTCCACTAGGGGCAGCTGCACTCACCAGAGGCGCTCCTCGCCCAGAGCAGAGGTGCTTCTTGTGAAAGTTCACCATCTGATTCAGCTGCGATAGTGCGTAGGCACGATCCTCCAACGACGCACTCTTCATCCCAGCCTCAGTCAGAGGAGCCTCAGGCTTGTCATAACTCGCCTTTCCGCCCCATCTCGCCGCGACCAGCTCAGCAGACTTCGCAGGGTCGATCAAATTTCCCGACCACTCAGGCATGTTGCTCAACCTCCTAGTCAACGCGTCTACCGACGCAGCCAAGTCTTCGTCCGTCACGGTGTAAGGGTCGACCTTCTCCCTGTCCTCTTGACCCACATCCGGAAGCCTATAATCCCCGCGGATGGCCTCCAGCGCGGCCCTCTCGGCTTCCTCAGCCTCCTTCTGCGTGGCCACTGCCCTCGGAATCAAGAGCGCTACCTCGGCCGGCAACGACTTCTCCATGTCTATCGGAGTGTTCTTGGGAAGGATCCTTCGATCAT